GAAAAAAAAAAAAAAAAACTCGGCGTATTACTTTCTTATTTCTCTCACTTATGGAAAGTAGTTGCATATACTCCTCTGCGACAATTTGACCCCAGTTGAGGAGACAAAAACATAAATACATACATACACGAACAGAGAAATAAAGAAAGAGAGAAAAAAAAAGACATATAGGAAAAAGCAAAAAAAAAAAAAACCCATATACAGAAATTCGACACACACAAACACTCGTAAATGAGTGCGGTGTATAACCGTGTTGCAGCAGTCCCCTCACCAACACATGCGTATATGTTATGACTACAACAACAGATTCGCAAGAAAGACGACAAAAAAACAAAAACTGACAGTTTTATAAAATAATTCAACTGCAAATAAAAATAAAATAAAATAGAGGGAAACAATAATAACAACAACAACAAAAAAAAAAAAGGAATTTCCTTCACTTCATTTCCCCCTTAACTGTTTTTCTTTTTTTTTTTTTGTCTGTTTGTTTGTTTTTTTTTTTTCATTTTTATTTTTATCATGGTAAAACGCCTTAATAAATGCAGCGTAGCAATATCACTCGACTTAACGGGGTATCGGAGGAGCAGTACGGACAACAAACATTCGGTGATCCCCCGCGTGACTGCCGGTGTGGCCTCTCAGAGATTGTAAGCATCGCATTATATGAAATCACATGTCCACAACTAAGCAAATGGGGAGGATTAAAACCAAACTTTCTACTTTCGGTTCGTGATAAGAGCGATGTGAAGGATGGGTTCACTTCATTTTGAATACTACATAGAGCCACATCAATACAACGCCGTCGTGTTACTGGACAGTAGCACATTGTTTTTTGAAATAAAGGTTGCCAGACTACAGTTGAAGTAGTCCCTAATGCCGGGTTGGCCGCGTAATAGTGAGATTGTTCTAGTGGACAAAGAAGAGATGGGGTCGCATGGCTTCTCCGCTCATCCTCCTCAGAGAGAACGGTGCTGGCATGAGGAAGTTCTAACATGATTGCATGCATGCGTCGATTGTTCGCCGTACTTTGACTTAGATGACGTGATGGAGAACTATTGTTGTTGTTACTATTGTTGCTGGTGTTATTGTTACTGTTACTATTGCTAGTGTTACTGGTGTTATTATTATTATTATTATTGTTATTATTATTACTGTTATTATTATTATTATTATTATTATTATTGCTGCTTCTGCCGGAGTGTCTAACTCTGATAGTTTGGGGTATACCTCGTCCAAAGGACATTTGTGGAAGTAAACCTCGAAATATATCCATTCTGTGACGCAACGAACCATCATCGTCAACATAGGCAGAAGATGACTGTTGTGATTGTTGTGATTGTGATTGTTGTTGTTGAGATAGACTAGGAGGAGGAGGCAGTGGATTTCCTCTTAAGGCGGGTGAAACAGATGGCACACGGTACGGTACATTTACGTTTTCCTCATCCACTCTTCCAATGACACTTTTGTCAAAATAATCATCAAGATGACGTAACATAAAATTACTTAACGGGTAAACAAGACGAACAAGTAAATTCTCTGGACGTGTAGTAGTAGAAATAGTACCATTACTATTAATATTAGTATTAGTATTAGTAGTAGTATTATCTCTTGTTCTTGTGAAAGTTGTGGCAGGAGCATCCACTACTTCATCTGTGTTCTCAGATAATAAAAGTGATTCTAATTGACGAATCTTATGTACTTGATCAAGAAGATCTGCAAGTACACATTCCTGCCATACAAAAGGGGAAGTATATGCAGGAAGAGCGGGTGAAATTCCACCATTATTTTCCTCATTATCTGCATCAGTAAGAATATCAAGTGATATCAAGTTTTCCCTATTCTTTTTCTCCTGAGCACTAGACCAAAGAGTAAGGAATGGGGCAATACAAAAGAGTAACTGTTCTTGTACTCTTCGTTTCTTCTTCTCATTCTCTTCATTCTGTTGTTTACCCCAAAGAAGTGGTATATACCCTAAAGCCACCAAAACATGAGAAAAGGTTATTAAAAGTGGTGAGGATGTCGTACCATCAAGAGATTTCTCACCATTTTCTTTACTGCTTTTATTGTCCATCGTCGTATTGTAATTATTATTATTATTAGTAGCAGTAGTAGTAGTAGTGCCGTCCTTTGTTGTTGATGATGTTGTTCCTTTCTTCTTGTTATTATTTCGTCGTGTATTCTGAAATCCACGTTCCATTTCAAGCCGCCAAAGCACCAGTGGATGTCTTTGTAATGCAAGAATAAAGTCTACTGCCTTCTGCAATGTCGCTGAAGAGGGTAATATACCACCCGTCAAACCCCCATTATTATTATTATTATTATTATTATTATTATTATTATTATTATTATTAATGTTATTATTATTGACACCAGATGAATGAGAAGTTGATACGTGTGATTCTCTCTTTTGCTGTTCCTTTGATTGTGCAACCATTTCAGCTACACGTTGTAAAGCCCAAATAATCACAATATCGGAAAGAAGAACATATACCCGTTGTGCAGTCAATACAACTAACGGGGGTGCACTACTCTCATTAGATGCCGCCTGTTTCTCCTGTTGTAATTGTTCCACACATACATCCTCTTCTTCATCATCATCATGGTGATGATGATGATGTTCATGTTCCTCTTCTTCATCTTCATCTCCTCCTCCTTCTCCTTCTCCTTCTCCTTCCTCTTCTTCATCCTCCTCTTCCACATTTTCACTGTAATCATCTCCATAGTCTTCTTCTTCATTAGGGTAAATACGTTGAACCTGTTCTCCACTCTCCTGTTCCACCTCCTCTCCTTGATCCTGCTGCTCCTGCATATAATCTACCATATGACTATCTGCCCCTTCATAATCATATGCAAGATCTCTCTCTGAGCCAATAACGGGCCATGGAGTTAATACCGACATTGGCAGTGGCGGTGGAAATGGAGAAGATCGTGTGAATACACCTATATGAGGAATGGAACCTAAAGAAGCCGATCCAACACGAGATCCTTCTCCTTCTTCTTCTGCATGTGGATTCGTCATTTGTGTTTCCACTTCTGTGAAAAACCATGGCTGTGTGAGTACTTCTCTCTCGGATGGTTGATCATAGGAATTCCATGGAAATGATGTACCCGTTAAAGATGATAAGGAAGCTCCCAAGGCGTTATTTACATTCCATGCATTTGGAAAACCATCAGGACTACATCTTGAGCAAAGATCCAATATACCTGAAATCCACTGTAATGTACGTGGATGTGTATTATGTATGACTTGTTGTAAATTTGTATCACTATCATCATGATCGACAAGCGGTTGCATAAGTCCACGTCTTATTTCTTGTGGAATGGCAATATCAAATGGAATATTATCCGAAACGGATTCCGAGTCTGAGACATACACAGTTGTCATTCCATCATAACATCCAAGTTCCATTTCCATAGAAGTAGTTAAACGAATACCATCATACTGTAATTGTCGTAATACCAATCGATCTATTATAGTATTTAAACTTCGTCTACTTTGTTGTTGATTTCCTCCTACTCCTACTATTGTTGTTGATCCTGTTGCCCCTGGCATATTATAATGAGAAGCAAAAGCCCCTGATGGAATAGTAAAAGAAGTATCCGAAAATGATGATTGTATTCCTGTATTAAAATGTTGAGATTGCATATCCGCACCAACACTTGATAAACCTTGTCGATGGGCTTCTTCTGCAATAGCCGCAACGGCATTCGTGACCCTATCAAACTCCAATGGATCCCAACGTACAAAACGTGAGAGATAATACCGCACACTCTCATTACATATACTCACACCCCTAGATACCTGATTTGCCGCCGCAGGAAGACCGCTGGGGCCATGAGTGGCAGCAGCCGCAAGCAATTTACTCTGGCAATTGGGAAACATTCTTTGATATGTTCTGGAAACATTTACGGCGAGTTCCACTTGATGGCGTACTTGAGTCAATCGACTATTAATAGAGGCCTCACATGCCTCCACATACTTTTGTAGTTCCTTTATTGGTCCTACAATATCTTCAGATGTAAATGTAGAACTCACCAGATTCTCTGTACAGTCATGATTGTTCTTATTGTTAGTATTGGTATTATTGTTGTTATTATCATTATTATCATCATCATCGAGAGAAGAAAAAGATGGGACCAAATGACGCAACTCTGCAGCAGTGCGGTTGAGAGTTCCCTCAAGGTCCAAAAGCAATAATTGTAAATCCGTAACTAGCAACGGGTCCTCGGCCACAGTTGATTGGGTCATTTTTTGTTTTTGTACTTTTTATCGTGTGAGTGTTTGGATAATTATATATATATAATTTTCTTTCTTTTTTCTTTCTATCTTTGTGTTTATGTGTGTTAAGGCCGCTCGTTTACACACACACACACACAAACACAAAGAAAGAAAATAAATAAATGAATAAAAATAAATAAATAAATAAAAAGATAGAAAACGTAAGAGTGACTTATCTACTATTGTGCTTCTAGTACTCCTACTTTGTTGTGGTGATCACACACACACACACCTTCAGCCTCCACCTTAAAAAAAAAAAACTACGGTGCAAGCGAGAAACTTGTATATGCACAAATGAATGGCAATTTCACTTTTTTTTTCTTTTAAAAGAAAGAGAGAAAGAAAGAGAGAGAGTGAAAAAAAAAGAGAAAAAAAAAGTTAAGGGCAATACAAAGAAACAAAAAAGTTCTCTTTCTTCTTCGTCCCTCTGAGTTGTCCTTTTCTTTTTTTTTGCTTTTTCTCTCTCTCTTCTTCTTCTTCTCACAGACTACTTTTTCTCTGATCTTAACTATTTACTTGTAATCTCCTTCTTATTCTTCTTTCTGTGGGCGATATAGATAATAATGTCCGTGATTAGTAACCCCCCACTAACACACACACACAAATAAAAATAAATAAAAAGAAAGAAAAAGAAATAAAAAGAAAAATAATATATTTTTTTTCTTCTTCCTTTCTTATTGAAAAGAGAAGGAGGATTAAGAATAGATGTGATATTCAGTCATCCAAGAAATAAATAAATAAATAAGGTTATACTTCCATAAACACTCATCTCTAATGGATGAGAAGTGTTCAGTATGCATATATATATATATATATATATATTCACAGCCACTAGATTATATAATCACCACTATATTGGTTATTAATAATATTAAAAATAATATTATTATTCCTTCTTCTTCTCAGATCACAATGACACCATACAAAAGAGAAAAAGAAAGAAATGTCAACAACATTCAAACATTACAAAACCATTCATTCTTTTTTTTTTCCTTTTCAGAGAGTGTTGAACTTCTTTTCTTCTACTGCCTCTACACATATATATACGCCTATTACCACCTTTTTTCCACCCTGCCAGATTCATTCATTCATTCACTCATATTTAAATTTGTCAGCATTAAATTCTGTTCACCTTATTGCTTTATTATTATTATTATTATTAATCACATTCCATTAGGTTTTAAATACCTTCCCATATGATTTTTATTCTTTTTTCCCCTTTCCCACATAGAAAGAAATACAGAAAGAAAGTATATATATATATATATATATATATATATATATATATACATTGGATAAAACAATGTAGAGAAAACAGGCATGAGTAAAGAAAGAGAAACAGAGGCATTTGTAGTAGTCATTATTAAAGGTTGGTCTTCGAACTGCTGTGAAAGGAAATTTAAAAAAAGGCACAGAAAAATGAATGAAATAAAAAAAAAAAGTGTATCATTATAAATTCATTCATACAAAAAAAAAAAAACAATTTTGAGAAAGGAGAACACCAAAAATCAAAAAAAAAAAAAAAAAAATAGAATTGGTCGATATAAAGAAGAACAAGAAAGACAATGAGATACGAAAATAAAAATAAAATAAAAAAAAATAGAAGAAAAAAACAAAAAACAAGGGGGGACTTTATATAGAGAGAGTAAAAAGAATAAAGAAAGAGTTATTTGCTCTTATATTCTCTTTCCTATCTTTTTTTTTTCTTTTCTCTTTGAGATAATGGGAGAAAAAAAAAAAAAGAGTTGGCAGAAAGTATTGCACCCTGCATCTTTTCACTCGTATGATTTTCTTCCACAAGCCTCAATCATAATAGAAAGAAAGATAGAAAGGTATACACATAGAGTAGATTAAAGAGAAATAATTAGATATTTTTTCTTACAATTCTACAGTTCAATAAAACATAAATACGATGAAACAGTAAGTAAATAAAAATTGTTACCCTAACTATATATATATATATATATATATATATGATGAAGACAATGTTTTCTTTTCTTTTTTTCTTTTTTTTTTTCTCTTTTCCATTCATTCTTAGGCACATTCTTTAGTAAATATATATATTTCCTCTTTTCTCATTTCTCCACTCACCTTGCTTTACTCTTTTCTTCTTCAAGATTTCTACCTATACTTCGTTTAATAATATTCTCTGGTTGATCCCGTAATGCATAGTGTAGTGAAGTAATCACATGTGGTGGTATAGAATCTTTTTCCATTAACACAAAGGCGTGTTCCGCACCGCCGTAGACCCGTAAAGGACGAAATCCCTCCACTTCCATACTTCCCTTTGTTAACATTGGGGGAATTGTATCTGTATCTTGTAAAGAGTGACTTACATATACACCATTATCATGTTCTAATGTACCTGTAAACCGTAATTCCCCACTACGTGTGAGGGCAATCATATAATATTTACCCACCGCCACTTCCTTCACATCATCTAATACATGAGTGGGGTGAAGTAAACGACCAGGGGCATGTGAAAGATGTTGTTTATCATTAGATCCCCATACATATAAACTTCCCGTATCACTAATAGCGTAACTAGAGAATATACCACAACCCACACGAGTAATAAATGCTCGAAGTGTAATTTTAGTAGGTGTATACCGATCTTCTTCAAAGCCAAGTCCAAGTCTTCCTAAACTTCCAAGTCCCCATGTAAAGACTTCTCCAATCGCATTAAGTGCCACTGCATGCCAAGCACCTGCACCGATAGATACAATATTAGATAATCCAGATATCTTTGCAGGAAGTAAAATACTCGCACGGCTTTCAGGTCCTACAGGTCCCATAATAATATTTTTAGGAACAATAGATGGAAGAGGTTCAAGTCCATTACCACAACATTCAATCATTCCCCAAGAGTAAACTTCACCAGTAGCACTAAGTGCTAAAGCAAAATAACATCCACAAGCCACTTGAACAATTAATTTATCTGCCAACCATGTAATTTCTTGAGGTTCATTAATACGATTATATTCTTTAGGGTTTACACCTAATCCACATTGACCATATAAATTACTTCCCCATGCAAATACCCGTTGTCCTTCACTTACAGCCAAAGTAAATGAAACACCAGCACTTACATGAGTAATTGTTGTTCGAGAAAGATATGGAATTCGCGCAGCATGCCGCATTACAGGAACTCGATCCGGTGTTGCATCTTTTACACCTTGAAGATCCATTCCAAGTTGTCCCCATCCACCCAAACCAAATGCATAGCAACAACCTCGTCTATTTACCAAAATAGAAAAACCATTTCCCAATGCCGCACATAACATTCCATCTTTAAGGGCAATAACATTTAAAGCGGTAGGAACCCCACGATGGGCTAATCCTATTATCACAAGTACCAAATTTTTAGGTATAGCCAAGGAAAAATTATGACAAACCCCACCACTAATAGAAAGTGATGTATAATTATCAATAATACTCATACCTCGAACTAGACGCATACCTTGACCTAATCCTAATCCCAATCCTAATCCAGTACCATATGCCATCACTTCTCCTGTTTCTAAAAGTAGTAAAGTATGATGACGACCACAAAAAACGGATATAACTTTTCGAGTTGAAGGAACATATATACGTTGACATGTTGTAAGCATCATTTCACCTACAACTCCACATTGTCCTCCTTTATTATCTCCACATGCAAAAGCTGAACCATCTTTGGTTACAAAACATGTATGAAAACTACCACAAGAAGCTTCCACTACATTAGATCCAAGTGTTGATATAAGTTTTGGAGTCATTACATTATCTTCATTTCCATGACCAAGTCTTCCATTTTTTCCCATACCCCAAGAATATGCTTTACCATCTGAACTAATAGCAACCGCATGCCATGGTCCAACTCGTAAGGATACAATGGATTTATTTTCTAACATATTTACTCTTATAGGATCAATAACCGTAATTCTAGGTTCATTTCCATTATATACGGTTTTAATAGAATCACTTGAAACCTGTGAACGAATAGAACGTTCTTCTCCCAGTAAACCAATATATCCCCAACCGTATATAGAACCAGAAGCCGTAAGTGCTAATACACCGTAGTTAGAACATCCTACTTGAATAACTTTTTCACCAGGAATTCTGAGACGTTGTGGAATTGCACAACATTTTATTTCCATCATTCGTGTACATTGGCCATAGTTATTAGCTCCCCATAAAAATACATCACCTCTTACCGTTAAGGATGCAACAAAAGCGAAACCACCTTGTACATCCACAAGCATATTTTCAGGTGAAAAAGCTGGAAGTTCAACTTGTACAACAGCTATTGGAAGTCCATTTTCTGTACAAGTTACAAGAGGACACATTTTTGGATTATCCACTCCAAGTTCACCCCAACTGCCTGAACCCATTGTAAAAATGGTTCCATGTGCCCCAAGCCAATATGAAGTTAAAGAAGAACATCCCACACGAAGTGGTTTATCTCTAGTGTAAATGATAAGAGGTGTAATAAGATTACCCCGAGCCCCTGTACCAAGTTCACCATCACGACAAAGTCCCCATCCCAACAAAACACCGTCTCCTTCAATGTATCGACGCAGGAGATGGCGGACATCTTCTGAAGCATCAAGATCCATATATAGATCTCCCAGAGGACCATATGTTCCGCTCATTAGAAGTCAACGTGTTTTTTTTTTTTTTTCTGTTCGGTTTTGTTTTTTCTTTCTTTTATGAAGGGAGTATTTTACTCTTGTTGTCTACCTTTATTTTTCTTCTTGGTTTTGTTTCCTTGAATTGTTTGCACTTTTTTTTCTTTTTTTCTTTTTTTTTTGTTTCTAATAAGAGCTATCCAGGAACAAAAACAATAAAAGAAGGATAAATACATTCATGATGAATATAAAAAACATATTTATAATGATACACATATCAAACACATAAAGGAAAAGAGAAAAGAGGTCATCTAAGACCCAACAACAACTATCATATGTCTCGTTGTTGTTGTTTTTTTTTTTTTTTTTTTCGTACTGATCAATCTTCTTTTTTTTTCCCCCTTTTCCTCCTATTTTATTTAAATGGAAGGAAAGGAAAAAAAAAAAAAAACGTCACGCCAAACACAGCATAAAAGCAACCCCTCATTATTGTAAATAAAATGAGGCCACCCAAAATCCAATTCTCTCCAGACAAAACAAACAAACACAGTATTTTTCTTCTCCCCTCTTTTCATACGCCAGCTATTATCATCATCCTCATCATCATCATCAAGTATTTTTTTTTTTTTCCTTCACTCACCCCTCAAGAGAAAAACAAGCTATTTTCCCTGAAAATTATTTTTTTTCGGAAAAAAGGGGGATTCGGAAGAATAGAATTCTCTTCCGAAGAAAACTCGGGCCGCTACGGGAATTGAACCCGTGACCTCCTGTACCCGAAACAGGAATCATACCACTAGACCAAGCGGCCGACGAGAGCACCTCGAGAGAATCCATAAAGACAATAAGAAGAACACCTCCACCCTTTTAAAGGAATAAAAAACTGAAAAAGAAAAAAAAAAGAGAGAAAAAAACCAAAAAGAAGAAATAAACATAATTAATTTCTTCCATTTCCTCTTCTTCTCTTCTTTTATTCTTTCAAAACGTTCCTCCTTCTGCTGTACATAAAATAAAAGTAACCTCTACATCCTTCTTTTCACTCAAATTTTTCTCTAGATGAGATAGGCATTAGTAGTAAATAGGATGTAAGAATAAAAATACTACTGAGTAACTCTCTTCTTTTCTCTATTTCTCTGAAGTCTCATCTTCATTTTGTGGATTTACGTACAATGAGTCTAGTTGGAGAAATGTGCACATCAAGACAACGCGTTTCCCCCTCTTCATTGTAGGCATTCAACTGAAAGGTACCACGCATAACACCTGAAGCTCCACAGAGACTAGCACCACTTTCATAAGTGTGGGACTCTCCAGGTGCGAGTAAAGGGAAGTTACCCGTTACACCAGGTCCAACAACTTCTACAATAAGTCCTACCTCTTCATCAAAAAATACCCAGTGTCGTGATAATAATTGAACATGCCATTTTTTTTCATTCCTAGAAAGACCATGATTTCGAATAAAAACAAAATAACGAAATATATGTTCTTTCTTATTCATATTACTGGTCATCATTCCACCACCATTACTATCTATATTAGTACTAGTAGTATTAGTAGTAGTATTACCAGGATTTCCAGTGGTATTAGAAATACTAGATGAAGATGAAGATGATGATGAATATTGAGAATCCCTGTTATCATCATCATTTTCATCATAAACAGTATCTTCATCTGGATTTCTTGAACATACATGTTCAGTTCGAAGTTCTACTTCTATGTGATCTGTAATAGTTACTGTACGTGTTGGAATATGATTACATATTTCCTGATATTCTTTTTTTGTAAGTTTCTTTTTTGCTACATCAAATAATTCATGTCCTTCATTTTGTGTATTTCCTGAAGAAGACATACAAAGCATTGCATCTTCCATAAGAGGAAACCTAAAACTAACACGTGTATTCTTTGCATAAAGTGGTTCTGGGGGCATCAAATAACGATATGGAGGAAGTTTTTGTGTATCTTTACAAACAACAACATGACGGGATAACTTCTTCACTTTACGACTCAAAGAACTTTCAATAAAAACAGTTCCCTTCGCAACAGTTACATCTTCATCAATGTCATCATCATCTTCATCTTCTTCTTCTTCATCTTTATTATTCTTTTTGTCATTTTCACCCTCGTCATTTTTACTAGTATCCTTAGTAGATCCACCTTTTATTTGAACAGGTGAAGAGCCCTGTTGAAATACGGTATCTCTATTACGCTCTTTTAAAAGATGATGCTCAACATTTCCTTTAGCTGAGACCAAAGCACTAAGACGACGAAGGGCATCAAATCCAGCGAGTAAGCGGGCAGAAGAAGTATCACTTGCAAGACCAGCAATACTTGAACGTGTAAAGAGTGAACGAATTACTTCTTGACGTGTTTGACCATATCCAGCGGCTCTAAAATCATCCATACGCAAGATAAGTCCATACATAGCGAAACAGAGATCTTCTGGTTCTTTATATTTTAAAGAAGCCCTATGTGCATGCTTAAGAACTTGTCGATATGTTGAGCGTACAACAGACATTTTTAATCTAAATCCCCAGTTTGTTCTTCTCCTTTTTGTTGTTTCTACTCTTTTCTTCTTTTTCTTTTTGTTTAGGGAATTCAACTCCTCCCTGTTGTGTTGCTCACTGGCTTACTAATAAAATAGAGATTCATTACGGAAAAAAGAGACATAGGGGAATTGGCATACCACATTTCCAGAGGCATATAAATATATATATATATATATATATATATATAAGGAATATAAATATATACATAAATAAGAATAATAACAAACACGAAAAGAGATACAGATACCCGAAAAAAAAAAAAAAAACTGTTGAAAAAAAAAAGTTGGTATCTCCCATCTTGATTTAAATCATTTTATTTTCTTTACTTTTATTCTGAAATGGAATATAATGAAAAAAAAAAAAAAAACGATTTATTAAAATTCATTGAAATCAAGAGACAAAGAAAGAAATGAAATTGGGAACCAATTAACAACAGAAGAAACAAAAAAAAAAAAAAACTGTTTTCTCTACTTCTCTCAGCAAAGAAATAAAAAAAGAAAATTTAATAATAGATGTATATACACATCATATATACATATTTATATATATACTCCTCTCTTGCTATGCAATCTATAACTTGGCCTTTATATTGAACTGTTTCTTACTTCCACCTCTCTCCTTTTCAAAGATCCACATCTTTACAAAATAGAATAGACGGAAAAAAAAAAACACACATTAAAAAAAAAAAAAAAGAATTTCTTCACTCCCCATACTTCTTTCCATTCTCCTTCCCGTATTACCATTAACATGATCATACTCACATCTTTCTCTCTAGTATATATATATATATATATATATAGAGAGAGAGAGAGAGAGAGAAAGAGCTCTTTATTATCATTTATCCTCCCCTCCTTTTGCCTTTCTCACCCTAGAGGAAGTTAAGCCAGAATACCTTGCCATCTCGCCAACAGCGGAGATAACCTCCGCAGCCGTGGGTCTATCCCAATCTATCACGGTAAAAACCATATCAAACCCTCGAAAACAACGAGAAAAAAAACCACGCGGAATTGTATTCTTTACATTTTTTTTTTCATTTACAGACAATAATCCGTGCATACTTTTTCGCCATTGTGATGTCACTGATGGTAACTGTTGTGGTGTAAACGAACGATAAAAAACCGTTCCAGATTCTTGAAAAAGTTCTCCCGTCACTGCACTACTACCATCTTCTTTAATAATAACCCCACAAGAGTATCCAAAGGCGGCATCCCGTACTTCAGAGGCCACAAAGGTTGGAAACGACAACATTGAAGTAAAACAACGCCTAGGTGAATCCATATGTGTTGTCGTATCATTATCCTCACACACGGAATGTGATTGGGTTTTCTGTAGAGGAAGTCCACATTGTCCTCTTTCATTAGAACCCCAAACAAAAAGATCACCAATCTCTGTAATGGCATAACTATTTAATGGTCCACATCCAATTTGCCGTACAGAATGGGCAAATGTAATAACAACCGGTGTGTGAACAATTACTTTAGGAGCTCCACCATTTCCCAATGGACCTTTTCCCCATGCATAAAGAACATGAGTCTCGGAAAGGGCAATTACATGATATAAACCTGCAGCTATAGAAACTATATGAGATAGTTCTTCTAGAATCATAGGTTTCATCAAACATGGTGAATCCCTTTGCGCACGTCCACAGTAAATGGCTTCACCCCATGTATAAACATTACCATCTTGTGTGAGGGCAACTACAAAAGTACCTCCACAGGCTATCTGTACAACTCGTGCTGAACGTAAAGACATTACTTCTTGTGGAATAAATACCGTTTCATGCAGTTGAACAGCATCTCCATGTCCTAATTGACCATGAGAGTTAGATCCCCAACTATATACTGTACCCGTAGTAGTTATACCAATAGTATATTCAATACCACAATCTAAATAGGCAAATTGTACATTTTCAGGAAAAGCTACTTTTCGGAATGATGTAGAAGGACCTGAATTGGCCGGATCACCTATACCAAGTTGACCCTTTTGGGTTTCTCCAATTGCCAAAGCACTACCAGTTTCTGTTAAAACAATCATAAATCCTTTTCCTCCTGCAACAGTTCGTACTCCATTTTGTAAAACAATTTCATTTAATCTACTTATTTCATCTCTTGGTAAAATATCTCTACATGAGGTAAGAACTTGAACTGTTAAATTGCGAAGGAGACCTGCTGCTATACCATGTGTAGATCCACTTTGTAAAGATAAAATTAAATAACTTTGTAAACTTCTACGAGGAACAGAAAATCGTGCCCCATACCCATAACCAATACCAGATGAACGAAGAGTTCCACATATCATAACATCACCATCTTCAAGTAAAACACATGTATGTTCACGTCCACAAGAAACTGCAATAGCAAGCCTTGGAAGAGGAAGTATTTCAGCTTCTGTTAAAGAATCTACACCATGAATACCTAATTGACCACAAGTATTTTCACCAAATACAAGTACAAATCCTTTAGAAGTTAATACGGCTGAATGAAAGGTTCCACAACTAGCATCTATTACCTTATGTTGAGATAATGATTCTATTCGAGACATTTTTTCACCATTATTTTCATTTTGTCCAAGACGACCATTACGATCCACACCCCAGGAATAAACACTTCCTTTTGATGTAATCGCCAAACAATGCCAAGGACCAGATCTTAATGCCACAATACGTTCTTTAATAGGAGTAAAAACAATAATAGTCTTTGCACATTTTGTATGACCTCCTGGACCAACCTCAATAAGTTTATCTTCACTTAAATTAACACCAAGCATTGTAGATAAACCCCAAGTTCCAATAGCACCACATTCAAAAGAAACAGCTGCAAAGAAACTTCCACATGCTACATCTGTAATCTCACCATAACGTTCTGGAGCTTCTATCATTATTGGATTTGAGACAATTTTTGTATCTTTTACTAAACATTGACCATAAGAATTTTGTCCCCATAAATACATATGATTTGATCCTTCAACTACAGCAACTGCAAATGCTGATCCTGCCTTTACTTTTACTATTTTCTCATGTTCTCTAAGAGCTACATGATGAAAACGCAATTTAATACCATCACTTCCATCAGCCACTACAAGTGTTTTTTTCTCTGATAAACTCCTAGATCCTAGTTGTCCCCATTCATCACTTCCACAACTTAAAATATTTCTATCAAACGTTACCAAATAGCAACATTGAGTTCCACAACTTAAAGAAACGACAGGGACAGGAACATTTAAAACTATTGGTGAAATAATATGTGTATGTGATGCCACTTCCCATTCTGAAGTAGATGATGCTGGATGCGATTCATTACCTTGAAATGCAATATTATTTCCCCATATAATTAAACAACCATTAGCAAGATAAGAAGAAAATAAAGGATCTCTTTTCTTTTCAAAATCCAAGGCCTCTATAATACGACGTGAAACTAGTGTAGTACCCAGTGAACTTTGGGTTCGTCTCTCATGCAAATCTGTTCGGAGCATAAAATTAGGAAGAATATAAGTACTTAAATTAGGTAATTTAGGTTCACAACCCAATCCAAACTGCCTTGCAAAATGAGTAATGGGTGTAGGAAATTGAGGAGTCATCCATTTATCTTCTTCTGCATTATCGGTATATAGTGGATTACGACTAAAAGGAACAAAAGAGGGTTTCGTTGGTAATTCTCTTCGACGTCTGTTGTGTGTCTCATTACTTTCTCCCCTACCTCCTACTCCTTCTTCTGTATTTTCCCCATTTAGAATATAATTACTATTATTATTAATATTACTATTATTATTACTATTAATATTACTATTATTATTATTATTATTATTATTATTATTATTATTATTATTATTATTATTATTATTATTATTATTGCGTGATAGGAATGATATTTGAGAAGAATGACTATGTTTTAGTCGATCTACATGTTCAGCATTTGCTGGTAGTGCAAGAATCACATTTGCACGAACACGGTAAACTTTCAATAAAAGTACGGCAAAGTTTGAGACATAAGGAATCATCCATGATTCCCCACTAAAGTATCGATCCAAATTCATAGCTTTACATCCACCAATACCGGCTTCTAATAGAGACTTGCGAACAGCAGCTGCAACCTCACTACCAAGAGAGAAGGCAGTTAATAAAATACGTACTGCTATCATACACTGTTCAAGTGATGAGGCATTTCTACCTTCATGTGAGGTGGGTTGTGTTTTACGACCCTCAATTACGAGTTTCTTTACAAGTTGGCGATAAAGATGATCTTCCCAACTTCCTAACTGTCCATTTTGCTTTCCCTCAATATTCATAAGAATGTGTGGAAGGACAGTATCATCGCCATTTACAAAATGCTGAATATATTGCTCCAACATTAATAATACCGTATGAAAAGGCACGAACACGTATTGTACCTTTCTCACTCTTACTCACTCTTACTCTTACTCACTCTCACTCACTTACTAACTTTTCTTTTTTTTTTTTTT